ATCCAAGCAGCCGGGACTTGAACCCAGCCTTCCAAAACTAGCGATGAAATTTCCCTCTGGATCAATCACTTGAATACGGTGATTCAAGCTATCAGCTACTAGAATATTTCCCACGTTATCTACAGCTAGTCCCCTAGGGTTCATTAATTGATCTTTTCCAGCCCCGCTTCGACCGATGACTGTAAACGACTTTGAATATTCACGAAAGAGTTTAAGTTGATGTCTCTCGCATTCCGAAATGATGACGTCATTCGATTTTGTGACGGCTACACCGCTGGGATACTGCAGATACATGGAACCACCAATGAAGCCGAGGAAATGTCCGTCGATTCGAAATTTCTGTATTCTGTGATTTGGTCTGTCCGCCACTAGAATATTTCCATCGCGGTCTAGGGTCAAAGCAGATATTTCTGGACGTTTGTCCTTTTTACTGTAGACTGGAAGAAAATTATGGGACAGGGCACCATCGGAGCTAAAAACTTTAATTATCTGAGAATCTGTAGCTACAATATTCCCTCGTTTATTAACGTCAATAGCCACGGGTCCCGTGTTTCCGAATTCGATTGGTTGGCGAATTAGTTCCCCAATAGGGTCGAACACTAAGACACGGCAGTTATTGCGGTCAGCGGCATAGATGTTCCCTTTATAGCTTGCTACGCAGCATGGGAAGTCGAACTGAAGAGGGACACTGCGCATGCCCGGAGAGCCAAGAGAATAGGAATTTTCGGGGAGAACATCAGAGTATTTCAACACCTGAAAATAGAAATAACTCAGGTTAAATTTCGTTATGTGTCTGAATATATCTTATTATTATACATTGTACTCTCTGTCTGTCTTCGTATTGGCTAAGAACCTGCAGCTAATTTTGAATCAGCGCAACCTGCAGATTAGTTAGTTATCTGCTAGCAGATAACTCACTAATCTGTAAGTTGCGCACGCAATGTATGATTCAGTGTCTAAGTAAAGAGCAACGTGTGTTCTTGTGATGATGTGTTTGTCGTTATTTTCGTCAAAACAATGTATAATAAAGCAATTATTAGATTCGGTTTTTGTGATGCCCAGTTCCAGATATCACAAAAACCTCATCCAATAATTGTTTACAATAAGAAATAAATGCCTGAGCAAGCCAATACTGCAATTTATGCAGTTTATCCTATTTATTCTTCTTACAGGAAGCGGTCAAACGAATGCGCTCTAAGCCAGTGCGCATGCTTGTGTGCATTCGCCACTTTAGAAACGAGATGGAGTCTGGGTCGAGTTGAGTTTCGCAAAGACTTCTGGGACTGTCACTGGGGATATACGGTTGGTGTGTTCTTCAACACAGTAACGTTACTTTTTATCGAGTATTGAGCCTCACCTTTGATTTTGGCTTGTTAACTGTCTCTAACCTCCACAATGGAATTTTGAAAGCTTTATTAGCAATTCCGTCTCTCTTTGTTCGCTCTAGCTCGTCTTGCGTTTCCTCGACTTGCTGTTGAAGATCAAACAATTCAAACTCGTTTTGCCGAATTTGCTGTTTCAATTTCCTAACGTCTTCTATCGTCTCCAAAATAATTTGATCAACTCCAGCTAGCTCTTTGGTTTTAAGAAAAACTGCCTCGCTACACTGTCGAACATAACTTCGTCTTTCCAGCAGCTGTTTTCGAATGTCATCCACAGACTTGATAGTTTTATTTAGTGTTTCTTGTTTTTCATCTTTTTGTTTACTAAGAGTCTCTATTGTCCTGTTCGCCTTTTCTTTAGAGTGTTTATTCAAAACACTTTCAAAGACGTTTTTTCTCGTATCTACCTTTCCCCACGATTTTTCATGGAATTTCTTCTCCTTTGCTCCTAAAATATTCTGAATTTCTTTGAGTTCTTTTTCCTGTGCCTCAAGCATAGCTTCGTTTTCTTGAGCTCTCTCCTCAACAACACTCCTTTCTTGTATCGCCACTTCTCGCTGTTCTGTGATGCTGTCGATAGCTTCCTGACCAACGATTATTATTTCTTTCTGCGTGTCAACCAACATTTGTTTCTCTTCCAAGGACTTTCTTAAATCCTCGCCTCTTGCCGCGCAGTTCGCCAAATCTTCCAGCTGCCTTGTCATTAGCCTTTGCAAAGCGTTTATCCTGCGAGCCTTTAGTGCACTGTGATCACCTAATTCAAATACAAATAGATAGCTACGTTACTAACACTTGTTCTTTTGAAAACCCTCACTGCCTGAAGATTGAGTGAGAACAACTTTGCGTAGCGAAAAAAAGTATCGGCACTTTAGTGTACTGCATGCTAAGCTGATAGCTGCCAGTTAAAGGTAGAATCACCTTATGTAAAGGACAGTCAACAGTTCTTGAGTAAAGTAATTAGTAATTAAAAGTACAGTTCATCTGTTTCATTTGAATAGCCACACTTAGAAATTAATCCACGAATTTAGAATTGCCCTTTGCAGCTAGGGTGCACCAAATGGATCTTTTTAGAAGGGTTTAATTTAGAGACTGAAAAGCAAAAACCGACCGATTTTAATAAAAATGAAAGGCACTGCGTAGTAGCACGCCAGTCTATTTGAATTGGCAATTTAGATTACTGACTAAGAAGTTACAGAACCACGCTGATTCCTAAGCGAGCAGTTAGTTCGTAAAAGCCTGACCATTTGTTATCATATGATCGGCCACCGGCGGTTAAAGGCACCCGCAGACTGAAAAGTTAAAACCGGCTTACTTACCAGCGTATTTACTAAAAAAAAGTCATGAAAGATATTAATCATCGTGGATAATATGTATAAAGGGTTTAGTTTTATCGTTTTTGTCACCACCAAAGAAAAGTACTGTCCGATAGATTTCATAAGAATGATCTGCACTCTAAAAGACTAACATCCTCCGAGGATAATTAACAACAAATCATGCGGGAAAGTAAATATTATTCATTATATTCACGTTTGTAATTGCAATGTTATTTGAGCTTATTGTCTTGAAATCGACACGGATGAGTGTAAAGTGATTAAGTATTTTTTTTTTCATACTTGTCAGTTAAATGCCTACATATTCTCACTGACCAAAGTATAAAGGGGGTATGAGCGGTCGCTGCATGTCAGAGTGAAACAGAAACTCAGCTTAATATTTTGTTATAACTGTACCTTCTTTAGATTGACCATTCATAAGGTGCATTGCTTGCTTGTACTCATCTAGTAGATCTATCAACGAAGGCAATTCGCAGTCTTGCAAGAGTTTCCGCAAGAAGGACAGCTTTTTCTCGGTAACTAGACCGCGGTCTTGTAGAATATGAATCAAATCGAAGCCACCTTTTAGTTTACCTAGCAGTTCTTTGTTGACATGTCCGCGAAGTGAAATCTTAATCTTGTGTATATTTTCGCAACTGAGCTGACTGGAAATTGTTCCTAGCAAAATGTTAAACGGTGAAATATGGTTGCGTTCAGGCACAACGTACGCCATCGGTCAAAATTCCGTCGACGCTTTTCTGCGACGACCGAAACAGCTGAGAAAACGCGTGGTAGACAAGCAGTTGCTAGGATTGTTAAGTCTGTTTAGGTAGTTTATTTTCCTATTNACAATATCCTTACTTTGTCGGACTTTTCCACACTTCCACACCTCTGAGAAGTGTAGAACTAAGTAAAGAATGACAAAGGGTTCATGACTGGGGGAAAGTGAGACAATATCCTTACTTTGTCGGACTTTTCCACACTTCCACACCTCTGAGAAGTGTAGAACTAAGTAAAGAATGACAAAGGGTTCATGACTGGGGGAAAGTGAGACAATATCCTTACTTTGTCAGACTTTTCCACACTTCCACACCTCTGGGAAGTGTGGAACTAAGTAAGAAGTGAAGAAACTCTGGATTCCATGGCCAGGGCTGGACATGGCTCATTCTCACTGACCAAAGTATAAAGGGGGTATGAGCGGTCGCTGCATGTCAGAGTGAAACAGAAACTCAGCTTAATATTTTGTTATAACTGTACCTTCTTTAGATTGACCATTCATAAGGTGCATTGCTTGCTTGTACTCATCTAGTAGATCTATCAACGAAGGCAATTCGCAGTCTTGCAAGAGTTTCCGCAAGAAGGACAGCTTTTTCTCGGTAACTAGACCGCGGTCTTGTAGAATATGAATCAAATCGAAGCCACCTTTTAGTTTACCTAGCAGTTCTTTGTTGACATGTCCGCGAAGTGAAATCTTAATCTTGTGTATATTTTCGCGACTGAGCTGACTGGAAATTGTTCCTAGCAAAATGTTAAACGGTGAAATATGGTTGCGTTCAGGCACAACGTACGCCATCGGTCAAAATTCCGTCGACGCTTTTCTGCGACGACTGAAACAGCTGAGAAAACGCGTGGTAGACAAGCAGTTGCTAGGATTGTTAAGTCTGTTTAGGTAGTTTATTTTCCTATTGACTGAAAAGTTAATTAAGTGCATCTTTTGTTAACGAGCAATTAATTGCGCTCAGCTTAATCCACTGCATTGAGCTAGACAAAGGAATGCCGAGGCATCATACAAACTTCTTGCGAAATGATTGGCCTTAATTCGAGAAAATAAGCATTTTTTCATTAACTTTTTTACATCTACGCACAAGTATAAGAATAAAAAGTTATTGAAAATTAGTATCTTTTACTTAACTGGGGACTAAAAACTTCAAGGAAACCTACAAAATTTATTGTAACTTTTTATTTGCTTACATAGCGCATGTGAATCTTAATGTATTTGATCTAATCACTCAGCTTTCTTAGTATACGAATGGTGTTTGCTTTTGATTTGGTACGAATACGTACAACTGGCTCAGCCACTTTATCGAGCCTTATTCCTTGCAGTTAGGTTATAATCCCTATATTTTTTTTCAACACATGAGACTGAGTTAAAGTGACCACTGAGTTAAAGTGACCGGTGATCTGCTTGGTCACTTCACGTAAGACAATCCGGAATCTGGGAAATTTTTGCTTGTGGAATATCGGAAATCCTGGGCTTTGGAATCTGGAATCCCGAATACAGCTCAAGGAATCCGAATCCCACCAACGATTGGAATCCGGGATCAAAGTTCCACAAATAAAGAATCCGGAATCCAGTATCTGGAGTTCAGAATCCACGGCGTGGAATCCAGAATGTAAGACTGTCTTGGATTCCCTTACCTGGGGCGAGCTTGGGGTAAAAACAGTATAGGAAAGGAGTCAGTTTTTTCTTTTCCGGTCCTTCGTGCGATACTACAATTTATTTCACAGTAACAGGAGCTTAATAAAGGGCTGACTGGCAATGGAATCCATATCCCTTGTCACAATGTCAGTTATAAAAATAAAAATAAAGTGTTTTTTATGGCAGAAACATTAAAAGTGCAAGAGAACTTCATCATCAAGTGACGCGTAAAACAAGAATTCAACAATGCCTTAGTGCGTATAAATTCACATAGAGTACAGAATCTATGGTTCTGATAAAGAAACAATATCGTCAAGATCAGTGATCGAATCGCATTCGCTCCAGATTATAGGTGCTTGGAAGTGATATGCCACAACGAACGGGGCGCCATACGGCCAAGATAGAGGAATTAAATTATAGATACATCAAGTCATAACTCAGTTATAAAAATGCTGGTCGTAGATACAAAAAAAATACTCAACCAGATAATTAAAAGCGCAGACAATGATTTTTCTGTTTATAAGTGTGGAATTAGCTTAGCCTGTGTAGCGGCAGTCTGAATCCCAGTCCTCTATCTTCCATCCTGGCCAAAACGTTTGGGGCAGTTTGTCTTCCATGTAAGGATAATGCAATTCAAGTGGACCATTGTACGTTTCTGGGAAACTGTTCAGCTACCCCTCCCCTAAAAAAGAACTAATTGTAAATGTTGGCTTAGGGGAGGGGTAGGTGGCCAGTTTCCCAGAAACGTAAAATGATCCATTCAAGTTAACCCCCCCCCCTCCCCCCTAGACGATGTTGGATGTTACAAGTCAAGCATCTTTTACAAAACTTTCACACGTTATTAGACTACGAGTAGTCCCCCATTTTTCCTCAGGGATAGTAGAGCTAGCGAAACGCAAGCGCGCGTGAAAATCACCCCACGCGTGTCGCCTTTTCTCGCGAGGGGTGATTTTCACGCTCGCTTGTGTTTCGCTCGCTCTACTATCCCCTGAGGAAAAATGTGGGACTACTCGTAGTCTAACACGTTATGGACTTCAACGTTGTTCAGGGGCCGGGGGGGTGGGGTGGTTGGGGTCGAAATCTTAAGGCCGTGTTTATGAGAGTGTATTGCATTGTCGGTTAGCTGCAAATTCCATACAACAACACGTTAAAAATGGGAGGTCTCCCAAAACCTTTTTTCCAGGATTGTTGGTCTCGCGGAAAGACCGAGTCCGGCGGCAACGCAAGCTAGAATTACCTTTGTATACATGTATATTGCATGGCATCATTGCTCAACGTTCGGTAATAGATTTGATTTATTGCTATATTGGTTTATAATAATGGCTATTATCATTCAGATTGAAAGTATTATTATTGCCAACAAACAAAGACCCCTCAGCTTAACGACGAACGACGATAGAAGGCTAATAATTACTCTTCAACACATACTCGCTTCTCATTAATATCATCAGTTCCTGCGACAGTTCTCTCTTGTTTTGTTCATTTGCTAGTGCACATTATATTTTATCTTATTCTTTTTTATGTCCAGGCATTCACCGGTATTTTTTTGTTAATTACATTAGCACTACCACTTATCAAGCTCTCTTGTCTTCCCAAGCGCGCAAGATCTCCTGTGTTTTGTGCTGAACTAACTGAGCGAGTTCTTTGACGACTTTCGTTGCCGTTCAAATCTTGTTTGCTCGTCGCAAGTGTCGACAAAACTATCTTATTCTCTCCTTCGTTGTTATTATCTGCAGATTCATAGCCTGGTGTCCAAGGAATCAACTCTAGCGGCTCAATACTCTTTAGAAAAGTATTAACGGCTTGACGCTGAAAATGAAGCTCTTTTTCTCTCACGCGACGAAAATACTCCAAATCTATCTCTACATTTGTCGGAGCTCTACGGCGCTGTTTTTGGCTAATTTGTTTATCGCGAACATCACCACGAACATTGCTTTGCAGTGAGCTAAACTCGGGAACTTTGTAGTAAGACGTTCTAGCTGGCGCACTGCGAGCGCGATTTAATCTTTGAGTCACTGTCTTAAGTTGTCTTTCCCACATTCTGTTCCTTTTCTCCAAAGCGGTCATAGGTCTTGGGGGCATGTCTAACCATGCATTAGCCGTGTAACTATCGCTGTAGAATACCCCTCTGCTCTCTTGGGGTGGTTCGCATGATTTTGCTCTTCTGAATTTTGGCAATGGAGGTTTCGGACTCGCACTTAAACAACGGAACTGTCTGAGAGACATCCTTGCTTCGTTGTCGTCAGGATTTCTACCTTGCCTTTCTCTCAACTCTTTCGCTCGCCTGTGATTGCCATCTAAACTCTCCTTTACTTTGTCGTGATTTTTCGCAATGTCCACACTTGCAGAGAGCTTGCGTTGAAATCGGTGAACAACAAGTCGTTGATCGGATGAGATCCTCGAAACCCTTTGTTGTTCTTGTTTATCCAAACAGTCCAGCTCTTTCTTAAGCTGAATCTCTTCCTTCCAGTTGGCAGAGTGAACTTTCTGAGATTTTTCAGAACTTCCTGGTCCAGCTTTCTGTCTATCGATATAACTTGCGAAGTGGATCATTTTGGGTAATCAAAGCACCATATCGACCATTCAGTAATATCAGCACACTGGCTTAACAATTCATCCCCAACAACTGAACAACTGTATGTTTAGCTTAGACATTCGTAAACTGTACTTCCACGGGTCAAAACTTTAGAACAAAAGATGTAAGGCGCAAATTAGCATTACTTTGCGGGCACTAAGCCTTTTGTCATCCACGTACAATTTTGAAAGAACATGCAATTCGCTGATTGTTGTACCACGATTTTGAACGTAAGACATTTCAGATCAGCGACGTCCAGTGTCTCGACGTATCATGATTATGGTAAATAAATAATCCTTCTTCTAAATCAACCTATTTGAATCCCAGCGAATCAGTAAATTGAGAAAAAAGTCTTTGTTGGTCTTCCACTGACTTGTCTTTTACCACATTCAGAAAAGTTTTCCGTTTCGTTTGTCGCTTAATTGCGAACCGCTAACATGTTGAACACAGCAGATTAAAAACGCATGGCAACCGAGCGTTAAGCTCTTTGTCTACAAAATATTACATTGGTTAGTGTAGTGCCGTGTTTGTTAAGTTCTTGTTAAAAAATGTCAGGAGAGTGAAATACTTCTGTCATTTGCATAATAAACCAGTGTCGGCAAAAAGCAATCGGTCGTTTTCTTGCTTCAGTTATTTACACAAAAGGACTACTTAGGAAATCTTATTTAATTCCAAAAGTCTTAACTCAACTAGCAGGTTTATTGGGTAAATTAATTTTGATGCTAATTTTCACGTTCTACATCCGTTCTGAAGAAACATTGAAGCACACTGAATAGGCAGTTCTCATTACTTTCTTTAAAACATCAATGCCGTTAAAACAGTCGAATTTGTATGGGTAACTCTGCAGTGTTATGACATCAGATTAGAGCGGTTTTCACTTGACTGTCGTAAAACCAAAACCAAAGTAAATACACTAGCCAACCAAAGGGCGTAGTAAAACCAAAACCAAAACCAAAACCAATCCCTTTCGACAGTCAAGTGAAAACCGCTCTATCAGATTTATAGAGTGTTTTCACATGACGTCACGGCGGCCATATTGGTGTCCCAAAACAATGAAACGGCGGCCATGTTGTTGTCCCAACAAGTTGAGAGTTGAACTCTTTTCTTATGCTGGGAGTTGAACTCTTTTATGCTGGGAGAACTCTTTTATGCTGGGAGTTGANCATCGAGGACGGCAACGGCAGTGAAAACGTCACTTTTGAAATGAATTCCCGTTTTTCAAACACTGTCGCGTTTATTCCAATTTGCTGAAAATGGCAAATGTAGGCGAATTTCCGTGGAGTTGATTTCTTGAGGAAGCACTCAACTTTAGAGAGCGAGAAAGAAATTCGTCGTCGCTTGTTTACGTCCTCCGTAAACTTGCAATTAGGCATTTTCACGTCGTAGTCGTGCAAGGACGGTAAAGAAATGTACAAAAAAGCGTGATGCACGTGCAAAGTTGTTGTTTTGCGTAATAAACCTATTGCTTTTTTGACGTCCTCGTTAGTACTTCCCCAGGCATGACCTTCAGCGTTTTCTGTGGAACTACTCCATTACTCCTATGCTAGAGAGTTTGTTCACAGGCTACTCCTAGGCCTTCTGTTTTCGGAGTGGTTCTCACTAGGATGCAACGTCTTTTTCTTTCTGAAACAACAGTGATAATTACATTACTAATTTAAAAAAGAAAAAGAATAGAAAAAGAATAATGAAAGAAGAATTTCACTCTTTGAGATTCATCTTTTTCATTCCAAAATTTCTAATGACTGAGTGACGTCTTCCCACATCCACTCTGTAATCCCTTTCCGCTGTGAACATGGCCTTTCTTACGTTTTAAAAAAATGGTTTTACGGTTAGGGTTAGGGTTAGTGGTTAGGGTTAGGGGTTAGGATTAGGGTTAGAGTGAGGGTTAGAATTGTAATGGGCCATTTGCACGATGGCGTCATTTTACTACTACGACCAGAATTCTTTAGGGTTTACTTTTCATATATAAATTTGGTAGCCCCAGTGAGGTTCAAATATTTGCACAAGAAAGCAAAACCCTGAAGGATCGTGGTCATAGTAGTAAAATGACGCCATCATGCAAATGGTCTATTGTGACACAATTTTGGGGTGTCCCTGAGGGGAAACCAGGCGAAGACGGGTAGCCTGCAGCCAGCCGCATGCACAAGAGGTGTTTGTCGCGTTTCGGTGGTAGAGGTAGTTACTTACCTGTTGACGAATAAATAAGAAAATGAGCTGTCGGGAGCTGGCCCTTGTTTGTGCTGCTGTGTGCTCATCGCTTGCTCTTGGGTATTTGGTGGGTAAATTTCACGGATCGCGAAGGTATGCCGATGATTATATTCAAAGACCGGGCCGAGAATTCAAGAAGACTGACGGGTTAAAAACGTTCCTAGATTACGTTGCTAAATATTCATCGCCAGAGCACTACTTAGTTACCGAACTGAGAAAGGTAAGTAAAGATTTCATGCAGTATTTTCTCTTATGATTGGCTCCTCTTTTTTGTGTTGACCTTGTCCACTGTTGCGTGACCGCATAAGCGGCCGCTAATGTACAAAGTTATTCAGTGTACGAAAATCCGGATTCCATATTTAAGGGCTGTCGAGTGACTTCGTTTCAAACGTCGAACTTTTAATGAGACGACACTAACGCATAAATTATTATAACGTATTTAAAGGTTAAGATTCTTCTACAGTGGAAGAGCACTAAGCTTTCCAGCTAGTTCACGAGCTAGTTCACAGGCAGTCTACTCAGATAATTAGAAACAAAACCCTAGTAGACATGAAGCTACCATGTTGTAGTATTATATGCACTATCTTATATGACCAGTTCTGAACTCATATCCAACAGGTGCAATTTGAATTAGGTAGGAAGTATTATTTTTTCCACATATTTGTGATAAGATGATTTTTCTCATGACATCGTCCCTTTCCTACCCAATGTGTTACCAGGTCATCATAAACTTTGGGTTCAAGCGGAGATTTTGAAACATACCATTTACATATTTGACACAGTGTTAAGTCAAGGTTGTTACGAAACACCTTGTATTTTACTCTCCATTTAAAATATTCATTATAAGCCGTGTTATTTTTATCCAGGTAATGAAGGTAGTCTGCCAGTTGTTTAACAGTTTTGAAGTCCATAACATTGATATAAGACCCAGGAATAACCAGCTTGGCGTAATTAGCCCCTCCCATCACAACTGGAACTACATTTATGTCTTCACCTGAAAGACATGAAAAAAGAAAGAGATCGCTCTCAAAACAGTTATCCCTCAAACAGCTCGTAATAATTCTACTTTTTAAAATTAAATTCCTGTTACATTTACTAGTGTATTCATGCAAACAGTCAGCCGACAGGGTTTTGTTGCCTGTAAATTTCTCAATTTCTCATTTCATTTTTTATAATTGTTTTAAACTTTAAATTGAACTCTCTTACTGTTTTAATCTGTTTTGAGTAGCGGCATGAACTCTAGGTTTCTTCCCCACGTACGTTGGGTAGAAGAGATTTCGTAACGACCCAAAAGAATGTTCGTTTGTGTGGGAGGCTTGAATGCTAGAGCGCAATCTTTTTTTTCTTATTTTTCTTTAAAATTCAGTCTGTAGTACGTGTTTTCTACTTAGTCCGCGGTCCACAGTCGCCTTCCATCGCGGTTTTGTTGCTAAGCAACTGCGGACACCAACCCGACAAAGTGAATAGGCTTCCAATGCGCTTAGGCGATCCGGGGACGACGCGATTTCCGACAAATTAATTAACCCCGTGTTCCTTCGATAATTAAGCTTCTTTGTAGGATGGTCATATGTCTCTCTTGCCACTTTGCAGCTCGCGCTCTTTTGAGGAGAAAGGAAAAAGGAAATCCTCTGGGATCATCAATCAGTGGCATGGCATGTTATAGTTGTCATGCAATCAAAAAGGCGAAAAAAGAAAAAAAAAGAAAAAATACTTACCAAGCCTTCCCCAATACTTTTCAGTGATGTAGTCCTCGCATAAGGCGTTCTCGAAGGACAAATAAAACTTAAACTTTTTCAGGCAATCGGTTGGTGGAGTTGGACATCTTTTCTTTTCTCCAAAATTTTTAGAACATTTTCCAAATACATCAACTTTGATGTGTTCATTCAGCTCTTGGACAAAAGTCATTCGAGGTTGAGCGCTACAATGGCTAACCATCCAGGCCACAAGTTCAGTTTTTTCTTGGGAGTAGTCCGGTATATATTTCATTTTATCTATTCTTTCTTCGTCGCTCAATTCCTCGTAACTTCCATATGGCGACAAGAAATCTGAGTCGCTTCGGTAAGTCCACGTTAAGTTAAATAGCCCGTTGAATGGAGCAGGATTCGGTGTAGCATCTGGACTTTCCCACGAAGCGTAAACCCAACGTTGTGAAGTGGGCCTCCTTTTCAGAAGCTTTCTCAGATGACCTACACCAGGCATATTTCTAGCGTGGAACACGACTAAGTCGCTTTCCTGAAATCGATGTTTGTCGTAGGTCAGTTCGAAATCACCCGAGAGACATTTCTTTGCGGTAAATGAAAACTTGGTTTCAAATCCACAACGATCACGACCACCTATCCATTTTCGTCGCCCGAAAAACACAGTATAAACAAGCACAACTATCCTTGTACCCGCTTCCAGAGTTACTGGTTTCCTTGCATTCATATTGATTCTGTCTTCCATCATAAAGTGGTCATTTGTCGGTGGTTGTGAGCTGTTTTTCATCCTCCTTATGAGCTTAAGTCCTCCAATATCATACAAATTTATTGCTACAAAAAGAAGAATGGAGTTTCCAATGGTTAAAAGGAAAAAACATTTTGCCCAAAACGTCGTTGCCATGTTGCCAAACAGAAGCTTGCGTACAAATTGTAAAGAAGACTTCCCAAGACGGGCTGCAACGGAAAGCGCATCTAGACAAAGTAAAGTTACATTAACCTACAATGAATCATTCGCCAAAGTAGTCCTTCGTCATATCAAAATTTATTCTTGTTTGTTGATTTGCAATATAAATTTCGGTGAAGCTATATCGAAGAAGCCCTAAAACACGGAATCCGCATTCCTTTTTGGATACCGGATTCCATAGGGCTGCCGCGCCAAAAGCCTTGCTGTAAACATTGCGCCTTTTGTTAAAACTCTCTCCCACCCACTCTGCCCGCAGCCCTCAGTCCCACCCCCGCCACCCCCTCGCAATAAGAGAGAGCAAAAAAGGTAAATGGTTAAGAATTGTCCGTGAAGCGAAAAAATGGTTGACCAATTTTGTTATGTTTCGAAGGTGATTAGCGAGAAACTTAAGGAATTTTCCCCAAAGGCTACAGAAGCAGACCAAACTAGCTTTATAACTCAACTGGCAAAAGCAATTGGGGCAAAAAAGGTACTTGAAGTAGGTAAGGTGCAACAATTATAAGTATTAATGAACTAATATCCATTTGTATAAAAATAATGTTGATTCACACGGGGCCAAACTTTTCATAGGTTCAGACTGTTTCCAACCTTTCATGTGTTGTGAGTAAAACTTATCGCGTAAAACTTTGAAGAAACTCATAATTTAATGACATATTTTATGGTTAAGAAGCAAAATGTCCTGAAGTTTCATTTTTAGCTACCAGCAGATGAATGTTCTACGATGCGATAATTCACAATTTTACTAGCAAATTAAAGTCAAGTACTTAAAAACGATACATGATTTGAACGTTCCGCACGACCCCGGGCCCTCTCCCTAGGGCCAACATTGCCAAATGGTGGCCTCTACGAAAGTATCTTTGTTTTTGTATGACTTTTAACGTTGAGGATTCACCCAAATGTGTCTTAAAAGTTAGAAGAGGTCGGGAAAAGTCTACTTAGAAGTGTTTAAAGGAAAATCCACTCTCGTTTAGTGGTTGCTTTACTTTGCTAATTTCTGGCGGTTAATGAAAAAAATTTCATAATCCACATTACAGCGAAAACATTCCTTAATTGATGAAGTTTGCTTGAACATGATAAGTTTCCTTGCGTTGTAATATATAGTGTCAAGGAATCTAAACAAGTAAATGCATTTTCTGTTTTCCAGGAACATTCGCGGGCACAACAGCGCTTAGCATCGCTCTTGTTTTACCAGATGATGGAGAGATTGCGACAATAGACTTCAAAGATGACTGGGTTGCCACAGGCCGCCCAATCTGGGAAAAGGTAGCCTGAGAAGACCTATTGTAGCTCAGTGAATGACAATGTGTACCATGGAGCATGCGTAGGCACTCGTTTAAACTTGTCCGTGCGTTTCAGATCGGATTGGAATTTGGAAGGGTATTTGAGGAGAGGGGAAAACCTGAGTACCCGGAGAAAAACCTCCAGGAGCAAGGGAGAGAACCAATGACAAACTCAACCTATATATGGCGTCGGCGACGGGATATGAACCTGGGCCAAATCAGTTGGTGGGAGGCGAGTGCTCTCATCACTGCGCCACCCTCGCTCCCCCTGTATTGTTTGCAATGGATCAAACCTCTGTTTTGTTAACTTGTCAATATTTTTTATATTGACCACTAACAAAATAGTTACCTAACGTTGTTGACGCCGGAGTATTTGTTTATTTTTTTTCCCTAGGCTGGTGTAAGTCATAAGATAAGATCTATAGTGAAAAATGCGGCCCAAGCACTTGGTAAGGGCCATTTTCTCCTTTTCAGTTATGTCTAGAAATGTGCTTAAACAAAACAAATCCTCACCCTCTACGTCCATTTTACCGGTCACGGAAAATGTACGAGAATAAGGAATTTATCATGTGGTATCTTATATTGATTCCGTCTTGTTTTCTTAAGATGAACTGATCGCCAACGGCGAGCAAGAAACTTTCGACATGGTATACATTGACGCAGATAAGTGGAACTATCCAATTTATTACGACAAATGCATAGAGCTTGTGCGCAAAGGAGGACTGATTCTACTAGATGACGTAAGAGTTACTTAATAATTTTTACGAAGCTAAAATTACATGTGCTGTTAAGTAATTGGAGTAATCAGGCAACCTCGTCCCCAACACGTTGCTAAAAAGCCCTGGGGACGAGGATCGGTAAACAGGGTGTATTACAGGAAATGTCTTTCACTTTACAGTCTTTTCCCGTTATTACCAGGACAATTCTCTTACTTGTGCTGGCGTTTTGGTTTCAGTTTCCTTGTTATTTGCATCCGCCACTGTAGACGCAAGAAGGGAACTGGACCCGAGATGCGTACCGTAAAAGCCCTCGTTCGATATATCAAAATTCAAACGAGACTCCTGAGGCTTTAGGGACAAAATTTCAAATTTTTCGCGACTCGATTGCTTCGCAATTCCCAAAAGAGACTTGAGCACAAAGCAAATCAAACCAAGTATAGAAAAATGACAAGAAAGCCTCGGAGTCATGTTAAAATTTTAATATATCGAACGTGGGCTATTGTGTCTGGTCATTTTTGGCCGGATCATTACTCGGGGCGCGCCGGTCAGCTAGGGACCCGACAGCGACGAGAACGTCGCCTTTCAGTCCGGCATTATCGCGATTATTCCTACTTACTTACTTTGTCAAATGTACGCGACCCTTCTGAATTTGAATTCTAAGGGACCATATCAAGTTCAGAAAGTGAAATAAAATTTCGTCGTTGCTTGTTAACGTTCTCTATAAAAGACGAAATTAGGCATTATCACGTGGTACTCATGCAAAAACGGCAAAGAAGTGTACGAAAAAGTGTGATGCACGTGCAAAGTTGTTGTTTTAATTATTAAGCCTATTGTTGTTTTTTTTGCACGTTCTCGTTGCCGTTGAGTCGTTGAATCTTCAAGTCCCTATTGGCCAATTTTTTCCCCTGTCCTTAGTCACAGTCCCAGAAGTCTTTGCGAAAGTTAACTCGACCCAGTTTCTTTCTCGGTTCTTAAGTGGCGAATATTGACAAATTGGTTACTGGTCGTTTCGATACATGTTACTTTCTTCGAGGTGAAAATAGTTTCACGTACTTGGCTTAAGAACGCAGAAAATTTACCCAAAATGTTTTTCTTGTTCAATTGCACACTTTACTTGAAGTGATCGAAATTTTTGTGCAATTTCACTGCTTGAGTTCGTATCGAAACGACCGGTTTCCCGCAAATCTGTTCTTCTTCCATCCACAGACGTTGTGGGAAGGATTCGTTTGCGACCCGAAGATCAACAGAGATGGCAGGACATGGGAAGTGGAGCCACTTAACTATCAGCGAGACTCTATTGAGATGTACCAATATCATCTCAGGTCAATATATGAGAGAGTGGCTGTCCATATTCATGCTTTGAACAAAAAAATCGCTAACGATCCTCGAGTTACTGTGAACATCCTACCCATCGGTTCAGGTCTTACAATTGCAACAAAACTGTAACATTGAAAAACAAAAAGTTTGCAGTGTCATGATATTCTGTAATTTAACTGCAAAACGTCACTTACAAATTAATGGTGTGCGCATGCTTAATGAAGTAAAATTGCTTATCACTGAACTAATCAGCCTTTCTCTATTGCACGTGACAACGCACGCGCGGAGTCAAAAGCGTGAGCTCTGGGGTTGAGATTGATTTAATCATAACGAACAATCACATCATGTGATCTCCAACTGAATTTTGCTTTGTTGGTAGTGTTGTCGTCGGCATACAAGGATTCAATAAATTAGTCGTTTTCTTGCCCAATAATTCCGTTAAGTGTGAGATCGTTGTTATACTAAGCGACAGGATTTTGAAATTTGCTCAAGGAACAAACAGTATTGATCATTATTCAAGTCAACGATGAAGCGATAAATAAAGTCGAAAAAATTAGCTTTCCAAGTTTCCTTGTTTTCGAACTATCTTTCTAGTGTACCAACTAGTTATTTTTAATCTGAAAATCCCCGTGAATTATAAACAGTTTTAAGCTGGATTTGAAGAAATTAAAAGATTTCAAATGTGTAAATTGGGGGGTAATTTTTAATTTAAAACAAGTCACTGTCTATCACATGTCATTCATAAGCCACCGGGGCTCATACAGGGCTTGGCTATTAGTTACCAGTGCTGGAGACGTCTTTGTGGTTACTCATGGCCTTAAATACCTCGAGGCTATAATTCCTTTTTCAACTTAACTTCTCACTACAATCCTTAAAACTGCGTGAATAACAAAATATAATTATAAAAAAAATTCAAAGTGATTCAACAGTTTTTTGCAAATATTTACTTATGTAGCGTTGCGTTTGAAACAGTTTTATTATTTTAAACGAAGTTGGCTTTTCGACTTAACTTGTAAATGAAGGTAATGTCGTGCGGAATTACTTAGAAAAGATTAATAGGAACATGAATATCACAAAAGATTCTGGACTTTTTAGCGAGTTTCAGCGTTTTTATGATTCATACATAACCGCTGTGATCTTCATGGAAAACGTTTCGGCTCCGCTTCACACCAACTTATATATGTTCCACCTGAAGGGTGTTTTCAAACGAGCCTGACTGTATTCAAAGACTACTGTCTTCGTTTTTTCCAGCTTTAAGATCATTTTGTTTTTTATAAACGAATGGTCATTATATGAAAACACTTGTCGCCTACTGACAGGAAACTTCAAGTTTGTAAACCCAAAAACGTCAACGGGCAAAATTCTCGTTTAAACAAACGAGGGTCTCATTTCGGGAAAAACAGCCGGCCGTTCGACTTAAATTAAAGTCGATGATTAATTTCAACAGAGGCTTTATTCCGACTGAGAAATATGGAAGACATTCGAGTTTCAGAGAATGTAAGCCGATATGGGGAGGAAGAAAGCAATCAAACAGGTGTTGGTAAACGGAGCAGAAAAGTTAAGTTTTCACGGCCGCTGGAATATTGGAAAGAATATGATAAAGAAACTGGGAATATAAGTGAACTGAAAGACTCGAGGGTAAAAGAAAACTTGGCACTTCAGAGTAAGAAACGAACCGACACAAGTAGACAAAACAACGATCCCAAAGGAAGGAAAAAATCACCGAGCATAGCAAACGTCGTTGAAGCCTTTCAAAAAAGACAGAATGAAAAGCTGAATGTGTTGAAACAGTCGGAAGAGGAAGAGAAGGATTGTACAAGCGGATGCAAACAAAACGTGAAACTCTCTGTGTTTACGCCAGGTTCTTTACACATCAAAAAGCCAGACAAAAACAGAAAACTACATTCTGTTGCAAACTGCCCTAAATTAACAACGGACGACGGAGCACTTTTGTGTAATTTTCACAAAGAATCCTCGCGAATCCAAAATTACTGTACTTATTCATTTTCAACTTCTCTACGCATGTTAACCAGCTTCAGAGAGCGTCCTTTTTTGCCGATTGTTTGCTCAAGTCGTAAGTTATACGATGACCGTTTGCTTCCAAACACACCGGCGGAAAACTGTATGAGAAGAAATTATGAGACTGCTGGAAAAGGCTTGCCGAACGTAGTGAAAAAATTGAAAACACCATACATTGTACAATTATTTGAATAACAGTTAAAATATTATATACGTCGAAATTATTTATTGATTTATTTAAACGAAACATGTAGCACGCGCTGAAAAACGTGTCGGCAGAAGGCTCGACACAAAGCAAATGGTAATAAAAAATTAACACCCGCTAAAGAAAAATATGGACTGGTCAATTTTTCTTGCAGCATGTGTCGCAAAAAATTGCGAGATAACTTGCAAGGAAAATTGCCTGGTGGTACAGGCTTAAAATGACTTAAAAGCCATTAAGAACAAAAGAAAGCTTAAGAAATGTTGAGACAATTTTCAAATACGACTAAGTAAATTTTCAAATTTAAACCAGCTTCTTCAAGCTAACATCTCGCAACACTGATGTATGTTGACATTAGTTGCCTCAGATTTTGTTTACAAGCTATTTTTCAGCATGCCAGTATGGCGTTCAGTCGCCTCCTGACAAAAATCTTAAGACAGGAGTACCCTACTCCTGCGCATGCGCCAGGCTTTCTGACCAAAAAGAAACTAAGGGTAAGAAGCGACGTTTCGACCGCGCCTCGGTCATTATCAAGTCGTTATTAAACATTATTAAACATGACCCGATATTGCAGTGTGGACGATTAAGTGGCTTATTAGAGTGGAGAAGGTGAATTGAAGTTCAAATCATGTAATTTGCATTTTAGTTGGAATTGTGATTTGAACTTCAACATCCGCGATGTCGAGTTTTCCCTTTATGGTTTCAACTTGTTCCAAGTAACTTCAAGTTCGAATGATGCCATTTCGACTGCGTTCATTGCGATTTCAAATTCATATGACGAGATTTCGACATGGATAGTCTAATTTTTGAACTTCAAATTGTCTTTTATTTTCAATTATTTTTATCCGCAAATGTACGCCATAGATATGACAACTGGTCGCAAATTCCTTTGCAACCAAAAGCGAACATGGCTTAAAGTACCTAAGGCATCATGGGCAACAAAAACAATTGTTATTCAGTCTCCAGACATGAAAACCTATTCTAATCCTATGTAAACCAGCTATTTCGAAGCCATTTTCACAGCTGCAATTCTTTTTCTGCATGTTTGAATAGGTTTCTAAGAGTTCTCTGTAGTTTTATATGACATTAAGTACCACAGAAGCGTATAAACGCTCCATGATCTCCATTCGAAAAAATAAAGTGTTTACTGTGTGCTTATGGACCTTTGTTTTGACAGATAATTGTATTATTGTAATGAATATTGGTGTCATCTCTCTTGACCTTGTACTAAATACCATTGTGCTTTTTACCAATGAAAAACTTTGTTGCTTAATTACCTTCCACAAGCCTTTAATCTTAAAAGATTAAATCAGGTATGTGGTATCTTATATTGATTCCGTCTTGTTTTCTTAAGATGAACTGATCGCCAACGGCGAGCAAGAAACTTTCGACATGGTATACATTGACGCAGATAAGTGGAACTATCCAATTTATTACGACAAATGCATGGAGCTTGTGCGCAAAGGAGGGCTGATTCTACTAGATGACGTAAGAGTTACTTAATAATTTTTACAAAGCAAAAATAACATGTGCTGTTAAGTAAAGACATATTACGTTTGCTTTCACTCTTGCTTTTTTTTGCACCAACCTCAATTCAAGGGTCTATGTTTGGGGGACGGTAAAAGATGGGCCCCGTTGCTTGTTAACGTTCTCCATAAAACACGAAATTAGGCATTTTCACGTGGCACTCGTGCAAAAACGGCAAAGAAATGTACGAAAAAGCGTGATACACGTGCAAAGTTGTTGTTTTAATTATTAAGCCTATTGTTGCTTTTTGCACGTTCTCGTTGCCGTCGCATTGTTAAATCTTCAAGTCCCTATTGGCCAATTTTTTTCCCTGTCCTTGGTAACAGTCCCAGAAGTCTTTGCGAAAGTTAACTCGACCCAGTTTCCTTCTCGGTTCTTAAGTGACGAATATTGACAAATTGGTTACTGGTCGTTTCGATACATGTTAATTTCTTCGAGGTGAAAATAGTTTCACGTACTTGGCTTAAGAACGAAGAATATTTACCCAAAATGTTTTTTTTTGTTCAATTGCACACTTAACTTGAAGTGATCGAAATTTTTGTGCAATTTCACTGCTTGAGTTCGTATCGAAACGACCGGTTTCCCACAAATCTGTTCTTCTTCCATCCACAGACGTTGTGGGAAGGATTCGTTTGCGACCCGAAGATCAGCAGAGATGGCAGGACATGGGAAGTGGAGCCACTTAACTATCAGCGAGACTCTATTGAGTTGTACCAATATCATCTCAGGTCAATATATGAGAGAGTGGCTGTCCATATTCATGCTTTGAACAAAAAGATCGCTAACGATCCACGAGTTACTGTAAACATCCTACCCATCGGTTCAGGCCTTACAATTGCAACAAAACTGTAACGTTGAAAACATTGAAAAACAGAAAGTTTGCAGTGTTACGATATTCTGTAATTTAACTGCGAAATATCACTTACAAATTAATGGTGTGCGCATGCTTAATGAAGTAAAATTGCTTATCACTGAACTAATCAGCCTTTCTCTATTGCGCATGACAACGCACGCGCGCGGAGTCAAAGGCGTGGGGGTCGAGATTGATTTAATCATAATGAACAATCACATCATGTAATCTCCAACTGAATTTTGCTTTGTTGGTAGTGTTGTCGTCGGCATACAAGGATTCAATAATTTCGTTAAGTGTGAGATCTTTGTTATACTAAGGGACAGGATTTTGAAATTTGCTCTAGGAACAGTATTCATCATTATTCAAGTCAACGATGAAGCGATAAACAAAGTCGAAAAAATTAGCTTTCGAAGTTTCCTTGTTTTCGAACTATCTTTCTAGTATACCAACTAATTATTTTTAATCTGAAAATCTCCGTGAATTATAAACAGTTTTACGCTGGATTTGAAGAAATTAAAAGATTTCAAATGTGTAAATTGGGGGGTAATTTTTAATTTAAAACAAGTCACTGTCTATCACATGTCATTTATAAGCCACCGGGGTTCATACAGGGCTTGGCTATGAGTTACCAGTGCTGGAGACGTTTTTGTGGTTACTCATTGCCTTGAATACCTCGAGACTATAATTCCTTTTTCAACTTAACTTCTTACTACAATCCTTAAAACTGCGTGAATAACAAAATATAATTATAAAAAAAATTCAAAGTGATTCAACAGTTTTGTGCAAATATTTACTTATGTAGCGTTGCGTTTGAAACAGTTTTATTATTTTAAACGAAGTTGGCTTTTCGACTTAACTTGTAAATGAAGGTAATGTCGTGCGGAATTACTTAGAAAAGATTAATAGGAACATGAATATCACAAAAGATTCTTGACTTTTTAGCGAGTTTCAGCGTTTTTAGGATTCATACATAACCGCTGTGATCTTCATGGAAATTGTTTCGGTTCCGCTTCACACCAACTTATACATGTTCCACCTGAAGGGTGTTTTCAAACGAGCCTGACTGTATTCAAAGACTACTGTCTTCGTTTTTTCCAGCTTTAAGATCATTTTGTTTTTTATAAACGAATGGTCATTATATCAAAACACTTGTCGCCTACTGACAGGAAACTTCAAGTTTGTAAACCCAAAAACGTCAACGGGCAAAATTCTCGTTTAAACAAACGAGGGTCTCATTTCGGGAAAAACAGCCGGC